TTTGATGTCAAATTGAGCTTCTTAGTTATCAAATGTTTACATAAGAAAGAAGAAATGAAATGACACCACGTAACTGGAACATGTTGCTTACATTATTAAACTGATCAAATTGTTTGATTTTTATCATTTTAACTATAAAGAATTATGTCAGCACAGCTTTGATTCCAAGAATCAAAGCCATCATTATGCCCTGACCTACAATATTACCAAAGTGTTTTAATCTGTATCTACTAGGAGTTACAAATGTTCTTATTAACCAGATGTAGTTCATTAGTCTGAGGTGTGCATTCACAGTCTAAATATGGGCAGCAGCAACACAAGATGATATCCAATGCTGTGCTAAGATTTAAGTTTCCAAATCTTTGTTCCATGTAAACCCACTGATGAAAATAATGTAAACACATGAAAAAATTATGATATGGCATCTTTTCTTAAACATTATTCATTATTTATTCCTTGTGAATCAATATTTCAAGCATTTGTGGGCATCTAATGAGCAAAATTATGTTGATTTTTTTTTTTTGCATTTTTCTGTACCATTTTCAAATAGATATTAAATATATTAAATGTGTTTCTATAACTATTTACAGCATGCTGACTATACACAATAGCGTGAACTTTAATTTGCATTTGATATCTTGCCTATTTATTCCAAACCTATATTACAGTACAATGTGCTTTATGCTGCAGATCTATGGTAATAACTTTTATGTTTGTATGAACCCCATTAGCCTGTGTCAAGCAGCGATTAACAGCCACACACACAGATGGTAACATATGTGTTTGCCCACAGAAATGTTCCCTGACACACGCCGGTGTGTGCTGATGAAAATGTGATCATATTTAAAGATACGTCCACACACATACTGTGACCACCATACTTTATTGAAGCTATCTAGCACTCTCCCTCTATCTAGCTCTCCCATCAGCGATACACAAAGTCATTTAAGGCAAAAAATAATTTAGGACAGCTACACCCCCTTGCTATGATGCCATGATGCCTCTCAGGGGAGCCTGTCATAGTCCTTTCCAGAGGGAGGAAGCAAAAACCGTGCCGCATTAGTTTTTTTTCCATCGCTGTATTCCAGCTGGGGTTCCATAGATACTGATTTGTCTATCCCCACAGGATAGACCACTCTTAATACGATTACAGAGCTAGAGACTTTAAGATAATTCAAAGCATCTCCACGGTTAATTCTGAGAAGGCGGCATGGATGCCACATCCGCTTATTGTCGTTCCCTGCATGCTAAAGAGAGCATAAGAGTTGACTTATTACCACACAATACTGACTAAGTGGGAAATCTCTTTGGACATGGCGACCCACCATATGCTAGATTTAATTTGATTTTCTTTTTAGGCTTTAGTTAAGTGCTTCTAAAGTTTCTTGTTCCACAGCAAGAGGGTAAGAGGGCAGCTGTGGCTTTGACTTGAATTGGTTCTTCAAGAAAGGGCAAATAAGCCACGAGTTTGCTAAAATACAGAACACTTATAGCGACACAGCAGCATTAGCGTATTGGGTGCAAAACTGGATTAAACCTAATCCTAGAGTAAATTCATTTCTTTCAATGCAGATCTCTTGCAAATGTGTGGTTTCTAGGACTAGGAGCTTAATCCAAAGAAGGGTCCATAAAGAGATGTGATGTGTTTGCTTTAGCTGAATTGTCTGCTACATTTTTAATACCCACTTAATCTAAGGTTAAAGGTTGTCTTAATGAGGAATTTGCCCTGCCATACCAATAGATGTTATAAGATGTTATGGTGATGGCTTTTAAAAATGCAGGTAGTTCATAAACACTTTATATAAAAGAGAAACACGGTCAGCTTGATGTCACCCAGTGGATTTGGGTTTTTAAGTCTCAGTGTTTGCATTATTACTGCTTCCATGTTATTGTTTGAGGAGCAAGAGGTCACTGTATTTAGAGCACAGGATGGCATGCTATAGGTTGTTAGCAAAATGGGTGCAGGGCACAAACACTGATGACAGGCAGATAAATATCAATATTTTTTCCTTTTACTCTGAATGCTTTTGATGGGCTGTACCTCTAATATGAAAAAGCATAACCTGCTTTAACCTTGTTCTTGAGTCTGAGGGGCAACTTTACTTAAAAAATTAACATTTAGTTGTATTCAGCATTAAAAATGTCCTTTTCAAGCCAGACATGTTACTCTACCTTTAACTAAAAGGAAATAAAAATATAATTAAGGTATTTCTGCATCGGCCTTCCAATGGGTGCTGGTAAAGCCTAGCTGTCTGGAATTTGTATGGTGGCCTTAAGAGGTCAAATTCACTCAAGCTTAAGAAAAGACTAGCAGACAGAAAACCATTGCAAAAGCACACAAAATACAGCATAAGTTGAATAAAACATAACAGAAATAACAAAAAAATACTGTAAAAGGCATCAAAAAAACAAACAAAACAAAAGTGAAGTGTTTTTGGGGACACAGAAGTGACAAGCTAACAGTAACAGTAAGGCTACGTCCACTCTAATGCGTTTTCGTTCCATTTTGGCCTCCCGTCCACACTGAGACGGCGTTTTCGCTCATGAAAAACGCAGCGTTTTGAAAACGCGTACATTTGAAAACGGTGCTTTTGCGTCGCAGTGTGGACAGCGAAAACGGAGACTTTCTAAAACGAGGACGCATGTTACTCATATGATGCAGTCATGTGACCAATTAAACTAAGATAGCGGAGGGCATTATACAGCAGTTGTTTTGTTTGCTCTCAATTTTGACAGCCCTATTAAAGATTAACATCAGTCTGTACATGCTCCAGATAACTTTTCTTCAAATTCTTTAACTCTCACTCACTTTTGCAACTTTGTACTTTTGTGTTACTCGCAGCAACAACTCCACCTCATTGTTAGTCCATTTAAAAAACTTGGTGCTTCTCCTCAACATTTTGCCGTGATGTTTCAAAGAGCTGGAAAGTAAATAAACGGCAGACAGAAATGAGGCAGGCGGAATCTTCTTGCATTTCACGCATGCGCAATACTGGAATGTAAGCATTTTCGGCCATTTCAATGTGGACGCACAACTCTGTGACAACCACTGAAAACGCTAGTGTGGACGTGGAGCGTTTTCAGACAAAAACGCTGTTTTCAAATCTATCTAGTGTGGACGTAGCCTAAATGTGTATTTTCAGTATTATATGTAACAAACCATGTTACTAGGCATTGTTTTCCGCCTCACTGATGAACACTGCTTCTCTTAAACGTGTCTGTCTCACAGCAGTCCTTCTTTAGCTTTGGTTTCTGTCACTTCTGCAGCTGGTCCATCATGTTATTGTGTCCCCAAAAACACTTCTTTTTTGTTTTGAGTTTTTAATTATGACTTTTACAGCATTTATTTTCAATTTTTTGTGATTTCTGTTCTGTTTTATTCAACTTTTGTTGTATTTAGTGTGCTTTTGCTGTGTTTTTCTACTTGCTGGAATTTTCACGAGTTGCAGTTCATTTGACCTCTCTGACCCACCGTAAATTTACCTTTAGAGACTATAATTCCACTGTAAGAAACCTCGGAGTGTTCCTGGATGGCTCTTTTAAACTCGAGAAACAGGTGTCCACTGTGGTAAAAAACAGCTTTTACCAGTTGCGTCAGATTTCCAAAGCAAAGCCGTTCCTTCCTTTAAAGGACCTTGAAAAGCTTATCCACGCATTTATTACATCCAGATTGGACTACTGTAACTCCCTCTACTCGGGCCTCCAACACTCCTCTCTTTGCCGGCTCCAGTTAATTCAAAATGCAGCTGCGCGTCTTTTAACAGGTACGAGAATTCATGAACACATAACTCCAATTTTAGCCAAATTACATTGGCTCCCTGTTAAATATCGTATAGATTTTAAAATTATTTTGTTCACTTTTAATATTTTGAATAATTTAGCGCCCAGTTATCTTTCTGATTTACTCCATTCATACAATCCCAACAGAGCACTTAGATCGTCCAACCACAGGCTCCTAGCACAACCTAGGACTCGAATGAAGTCGAGAGGCGACCGGGCCTTGCATCCGTGGCACCCAGACTCTGGAATAACCTCCCCGTTCATATTCGCACTGCCGAGTCTATCCAGTCTTTTAAATTACGTCTTAAAACTTATTTTTTTACTTTGGCTTTTGATTCTGTCTAGTTGGCTGTTTTAGCTTGTTGCGTTGTTACCTATTGTCTCTTGTCCTCTTTTATTGTTTGTTTTATCTGTCTCATGTTTTTATTGACTGTGAAGCACTATGGTCAACACTGTTGTTTTAATATGTGCTATATAAATAAATTTTGATTTGATTTGATTTGATTTATAATTGTTCATGTATACATAAACACTTACAGCTGCCCTCTTACAAAAAATTTTAGAAGGCTGTAAAGATGTTAAAGTTGGGCCTTTTTAACATGGGGGTCTATGGGGGTTGACTCACTTTTTAAGCAAGCCTCAAGTGGCATTTGTGGTACTGCAGTTTTGGACTTTTCTGCTTTGAGTTCACTATAACTGGCTGGTTGATCAAGTCCAGTACAAGGAGGCAAGGGGATAAAATGTGCAGCTAATATATTCCTGAAGTGCCAAGAATTCATATTGATGGCGCCTCAAAGAATGTTCTTTTCAGCAGTTCAGGATGGGTGTCAGCCATCTTCTCCCAACTTCTCAAAAACAGGAAATCAAGGGGGGTACTGTGGCCATTTAATGACAAATGAAGAGCTCCCACTGTGTCCAGCTGTGACTTTCAAAAGCGTGGAGGAAGGCTTGGTGGATAACAGCTAAATGGCTGCTGAGTGACAAATCAAATGGTTGTTGCAGCTAAATCAAAAGACAGCGAGTTACAAAGTGCAGCCTGAGAATGCAAGTCCTGCCAAGAAACCTTTTTCATCATTATGCTGCCCTCTACGGGTCTTCTTCCTCCAGCCTCCCTCTTTTTCCACCCCCCATCCCCAACACACACACACACACACACACACATCATCATCATCATCACCCCTCCCCAGCACCACCAGCCCGCCTCCTCCCCTTCCTAAACCACCCCCCTTAAAGACTATTGCGCGCATTAAATTGCTTTTCATTTCCGTGCTGTGACAGTCTCTGAGATTGGGGGGGATTTATGCATTTTCACGAGTGACTTTCACTGCCATGCTACGGTAATTATTTCATAATACGTCCTTCGCTGCAGGGCACGGGCTGGTTTGCACCAACCAACCGAGATCAAGTTCCACTAGTTGACAACGCTGGGTGGAAAGATGAAGCGCGCGCGTACATAGGATATCCTATGAGCAGGAGCAACAGAACTGCAGAAAACAGAAGAAGAAGAAGGAGAAGAGGAGGAAAGGGGGGGATCGGATTCTCGCATCCGAGGAGGCAACTGGAGGAACATTGATCTCCGGTCGATTTGGACGCACTGGCAATTGAAATAAAGAGACCTTGGGCAGATCTATACATAAACTGGTAGGAGCCGCACCGCTGGCAGCAGACAGGGGTGGGGGGGATTCGTGCCTCTCTCTGAGCCGCTTCCTTCGTCAGTGCGCATGGATGAAAGTCACAGTTAAAATGCATGCGGCAAGTCCTGTCTGATGTGGGATTACCACGTTTTTATTCGCCCCCCTCGCCTCCCGACCATGTTCCAACTTTGGTTTTGGCTCTTTTTCCGAGATGACACTGCTAATTTCAGTCGGCGCTGGGAGAGCACCGGAGCCCGTTTCGCCGCGCAGGCTGTCACATCATCGGCGTGAATGAGAACGTTACCCGCGCTCGTCCATGCCTGGTTTATGGAGCTAAACACCGCGGAGACTTGACTTGATTTTTTTTTCTTTCCTCTTTCTTTTCATTTCTTTTCTTTTCCTCCTTTTTCTTTTATTTTTTTAACCATCCGGCTGAAGGGCGGACAGTGAAATCACGAAATCCATGTTTTCACTGAGGCTGGGGGGAAAAGACCGGACACAGCCGTGATTGTCGGCATGTTTTGGCGTTTACCGGAATCAGCACGGTAAGAAAACCCTGATTTATTTTCTTCCCCCCCCCTTTCTTTTGGTTTAACTGCTTGTCTCAGCTGAGACGTTATGCCTTTTTAACGTGTTCTTTTTTTTATTGGGAGGAGGAGGGGTGAGTGTGTATGTGTGTGTGTGTGTGTGTGGATGGGGGGGGGACCTCTCCGTGGTGCTGAAACCTGCTTCCACCCTCAGTCACATTACTGAAGTTGATCCCGGATTTAAAGGTGCTTTTAAGAAAGGTGTCTGCGGCCGCTGTGCCAGTAACGAGCACAGAGCCCGCATTTCTGCGCTCCAGTTAGAGCATCCCGTTTTTTTAAAAAAGCCTGCTGCATCCGCACACGGATGCTCTGCAAAGACAAGGCACTGGCGTTCCAAGTTATATCTCCATTATTTCCGTGAGCCTGGCTTTTAGAAACAAATATTTATTTATTTATTTATTTGAAATGGTGTTAGACTGAAACATTTCAAACATTTTGATTGACACCTCAGTGGTGGAGTAGGCTACCTGTGTGCGTGCGTTAAAATTGCGCTTATTTATTTTATTTTGATTTTGGGGGGGTGGGGGGGGGGATTTATGGAGCGATGTGTGGGCTTTTTGTGCTCTTTTAAGGAACGCACACAGACCCAAATGTGTGCGTCTGCTGTGCACGCGCGTGTGTGTGCACGCGCGCGTCTGAGGCGGAGAGAGAGAGGGAGAGAGAAAGAGAGAGAGAGAGAGAGAGATCTGTAACCTTCTATATAGCAGATGCCGTACATAATACTTGATTATAGAATTATTTACTCCACGTCAAAATGTAGTTTGGATCAGAGATCCTCCGCGAGATTTGCCTTTGATCAACTCCTCTCCTTTCTTTCTTTTCAATCTTTCTTTTCTTTTTTTCCCTCTTTTTTCCGCCCGTGGGCAGCAGCAGCAGAAGAAAGAGAAGAAGAAGAAGAAGAAGGGCTGCGACTGTCGCCTTGTAGGCTCATATTCACATTTTCTATGGCAGGCCGGATATATATATGTGTATCCATTTTTCTACAGAGATGAGGACTGTCTGCTTCTCCCTGTCGATTGGTATCAGGGAACCGGCATTTTATTTTTATTCGCACCGAGGACGGTTTTTAATCATAGCACAGGAATAAACACCCCCCCCCCCTCACCCCCCCGTCTTTCATCCTCATGTTGTGGAGGTGGAGAGAGGGGATCCGACAGTTTCCCCAAGTCGTCGGGTATGAGGGGTGAGTGAGGTATCTTTGTAGTTCGGAGATAGGAGTTCATCCTCGAGGTTTTAATGTGAGTTTGAATCGTCAAAGGAAAAGACAAACAAACATTTACACATACAAATAATAATAATAATAATAATAATAATAATAATAATAATAATAATAACAGAGACCGTAAATGCAACAATCACCCATCTCACAAGGAATGAGACTCGAGATTACCTGACAAGAAGTGTCGTTTGTCGTTTTTCCACTGTCATCTGTTAACAAATACTCGAATCTCCGAGTCTGCAAACGGTGGATGGCGATAGCTTCTTCTTTTTCTTCTTCTTATTCTAACAAGATGGATTGGAATTCAGGCGAGCTATCAAAAAATGCGCAGTGGCCGTCCAATAGCGGATACTTGTGTTACTTTAAATACAACATTCTTTATGCATGCAGTTTGTTAAACACGCAACTTGTTTTCTGTCACTTTCAAAATCAAAATGATGCCGACATAACACATTTGCATATTGGAAAAATATGTGTGCGTGCGTGTGTGTGTGTGTGTGTGTGTGTGTGTGTGTGTGTGTGTGTTTGAATACATCTAATGTTTGCTCGTTTAGGCTCTTCTGAGTGAGCAAATTTGCATTTCTGTAAATAATGCACCTGTGCCCATGATGTGTAAAACACAACTCGTCCTTTTCTCTCCCCTCCTTAGATGACACCTCATACTGGTACTGCACTTGAGTGAGCTGGGGCATCCTCTCCCAGGAAAAATGCATATCTGGATCCTAAAAATAATACTTCTGATTGCATCATCTCTGAGGCTGGTTGAGATGTATGACAATTATGGGGAGATCTGCCGAAACCTGTGCACGTGCGAGGAGAAGGAAGGGATCCTGACGGTGAGCTGCGAGAACCGGGGGATCATCAGGCTGACGGAGATCAGCCCTGTTCAGTACTCCATGTACCACCTCCTGCTCACGGGGAACCTCCTGAAGAAGCTGTCGATCGATGATTTCATCAATTACACCGGGGTGACCATCCTGCACTTGGGGAACAATGATATCTCTGAGATAGAGTCGGGTGCCTTCAATGGACTCCAGGGATTAAAAAGGTTGCACCTGAATAACAACAAGATAGAAGTTCTGAGAGATGAAACCTTTAAAGGACTTGAGAGCTTGGAATACCTACAGATTGATTATAATTTCATCACAAACATAGAGTCCAACGCCCTGAGCAAACTACACCAACTAACAGTGATGATTCTGAACGACAACCTGCTCTCTGCCCTTCCTCCCAACATCTTCCGGAATGTCCCCCTTACGCACTTGGATCTGAGAGGGAACCGCTTAAAAATGTTCCCCTATATTGGCCTCCTAGAGCACATGGACAAAGTTGTGGAATTACAACTGGAGGAGAATCCGTGGAATTGCTCCTGCGAGCTCATTGCTCTGAAGGCTTGGCTGGAGAGTATAGCTTACACAGCTCTGGTGGGAGAAGTGGTGTGCGAGACGCCATTCAGGCTCCATGGAAGAGACCTGGATGAGGTGTCAAAGCAGGAACTCTGCCCGCGAAGACCCCTAGAAGACACAGTCAGGCCTGCGCCGCCTAGCAGCACTAATGGATACTATCAGACCACACCAGCCGCTGTCACAGCCTCTGCCACCTCCTCGGCTGTTTTAAGGTCTTCTTCCAGGCCTACCAAGGGCACACGGCAATTGAACAGAACCAGGTTAAAGCCCACCTCCCGAATACCAGGCGGCAATCCATACAACTATGGCCCCATCATTGCTTTTCAGACCAAATCTCCTGTGCCTTTGGACTGCCCCACTGCTTGCACATGTAATCTGCAGATATCTGAAATTGGGTTAAATGTCAACTGCCAAGAGAGAAAGATTGAAAGCATTTCTGACCTAAAACCCAAGCCATACAATCCTAAAAAAATGTATCTCACTGGAAATTACATCCCTGTGGTGCGGAGATCCGATTTTGTCGACGCCACTGGATTGGATTTGCTTCACCTGGGAAACAACAGGATAACTCTGATCCACGACCGGGCTTTTGGGGATTTAACCAACCTGCGTAGACTGTATTTGAATGGTAATCTCATGGACAGGCTCACAGGAGAAATGTTTTTTGGTTTGCAGAACTTACAATATCTTTATTTAGAGTACAACAAAATCAAGGAGGTCGATGCGGGCACTTTCCGCTATCTCCCTAATCTGCAGCTGCTTTTTCTGAACAACAACCTCCTGAAAACTTTACCTGTGGGCATCTTTTCCAGCCTCTCCCTGTCTAGGCTTAATCTGCGTAACAACCATTTCCAAAACCTCCCCGTGAGTGGTGTTTTGGATCAGCTCAAGCTGCTGTTGCAGATAGATCTGTTTGAGAACCCCTGGGAATGCTCCTGCGACATAGTGGGGATGAAGATATGGCTCGAGCAGCTCAGTGCAGGCACTGTGGTTAATGAGGTCGTGTGCAAGACGCCAAAACGCCACACAGGAATGGACCTGCGTTCTGTCCCGTCAGAGCAGCTCTGCCCAGATTACTCCGAAGCCTATGTCTCGCCAACTCCACCTACAGAGGAGCCCATGGATGAACACGTTGTCACCACAGGTGCTACTCGGAGGTTGGAACCCCCTGGCAGCACCGTCCCCCTCTCCGTCCTTATCCTCAGCCTCCTGCTTGTTTTCATCATGTCTGTCTTTGTGGCTGCGGGGCTCTTTGTTGTGGTCATGAAAAAGCGTAAAAAGTCTCAGAGTGACCGTACTAGCACTAACAACTCTGACGTCAGCTCTTTTAACCTGCAGTACAGCCTCTACAGCAACCGCTCTGGACCTAAAGTTAAGGCCCCGGCTGGTCATGTATATGAATATATCCCCCATCCAATGGGCCATATGTGCAAAAATCCCATTTACAGGTCAAGGGAGGGGAACACAGTGGAGGATTACCGTGACCTCCATGAGCTCAAGGTCACATACAGGAGTACCCCAGATGATGAGAGGGACAGTAGTACGATGAGGAGCCCTTCATACAGTGTTAGCACCATCGAGCCACGTGAAAACCCTTCCCCTGTGCAGGATGCAGACCATTTCTTCAGAGGGATCCTTGAACCCGATAAGCAGTCACCCCACCAGTCCATCCCGTCAATCCCAGCAGGGGCCAATTTAGAGTACAAGTATACGGGTCCCGTGTCGTACACGTACAACCCAAATTTTGATGTCAGACGTCAGTTCTTGCACCCGGAGAGAATAAGAGAAACAGTGCTCTATGGCACAGCACCCAGTACTGTTTATGTCGAGCCCAACAGGAATGAGTATTTGGAGCTAAAAGCTAAACTGCAGTCTGAGCCTGATTACCTCGAAGTTCTTGAGAAACAGACCACCTTTAGCCAGTTCTGAGCAACAGAGTCGTGAGCATAATGAAGCATTTTCTCTCTCGACCCTCCTTGAAACAGTGGCTCAGTTTCTAGGGTGCCTTGGCACAAATACAAACAAGCAAAAGAGAAAGAGTTGAAACGGGGTGTGCCGAACAATCTTATTCTTATTTCAGAAACATGACATTACAGGAATGGATACAGCTTTCTCGAGACATGGATGAACAAAATTGCTTAACTGATGATGCAAAATCTATTTTTCTATGGTGAAGATTGAATAACACACAAAAATGTAAGTGTACAGGTAAATCTTACCCAACTTCATTTTCAGGAATATAACCATACATACGATATATTGTGAATCAGAAAAAGAAATGTTTATAAAAATCACACCTGGACATACAAGAAAAAACAAACAAACAACAAAAAAACCCAACACATTGTACAGCAGATCATCAAAACTGTGTAGGACTATTTTCTGCTGTAGTCTGTAAGTAAGTATTTATTGATATAATCTGCCATGTCTTTTCAAAACTTTTGATTCTTCATCAGTATTACCTGTGTCATCATACTCCATCATCCTCCGGAAAAAGGCTTATGTTTCTAGTTTCATTTACTGTAGCTCTGCATTGTAAAAGTGGCTTTTCTTTTTCCTTTTTTGTTTTTCTTTTCTTTTGTTTCTCGGAAAGTGGCACACCCCAATGTCCAAAACAGACTGCGTCATTTGAAGAAGATGAAAAAAAAGAAAAAAAGAAAAAAAGAAAAAAGAAGTGTCTTTGTATGCTTTCTGCACTTTTTGGAAATGGAAGGCAAGTTAGCCTTCAATGAGCTCTCATAAAGGAGATTATTATATTAAAAATGAATATGGCTATTCATTCTTAATATGTAGGATTGATATGTTATCAAAACAAAAATTCATAAATGATATTTGAAGTATTAATTATGTTGTGTAATACTGGCATTTTAATCAATGTAACACCTATTTTTATACGAGCATTGGCAAATTCTCTATCGATTATGGGTTTCTTTTGTTTTGATTGCTTTGCACTTATTGCACTATATTGACCAAACTATGTTATTGTCATCAAATAAACATGATGTCAGGTTCATATAATGTGCTTATGCGGAAACTGAAGGTGGAATGAGGCCATTTGGGTTTTTGGTTCAGCATGTGGGTTTTAGATGTGAAATCAAGAGAGTTTTCCCACAGCTAAAAGTTGTTTTATGCCATAATCAGTTAACAATATATCGGCTGACAAGATCAGACTATGGTGTGCACTCAGTTAAAGAAGATAAAGACAGTGTATACGTGCTCCACTTAAAGTGGAGGTTGCGTCGTCAGTGAGAATTGAAATCAATGGGTATTAATCAATGACCATTATGTAAGGCTGGCCTTCTGCAATTATACCGCGACAACATAATCCAGATTGTCGTCGGTCAATGGATGAGCAGGTGTTTTATATAAACATCATTTAACATCTTCGCAAAGTCAGCGGGTATGAAACATAAAGATGTGCTGGATTATGTTTTTGGTGTCGAAACGTAATAGGTTTTGTTTGATATGCAAACGGTTTTGTAAGTCAAGAAGTTTAAAAATATAAGAAAACATGTTCAAAATCTGCTTTTTTTCTCCGGTCTTTCAAGTGCTTGTTTGTTAATTGACTTTTCACTTGACCCACTTAAATTCAATATGCAAAGTAGATCTATAAAAATGCAGAGGATGCACTGTGCCACCATTTTCAGTGTGCAGCAAGCGTCACCATTTAGGAATTCAGTGTTCCAGAACTGAGATGGGCACGGATCTTTCTGGAGAGGAATCAAAAGAATGGAAGAAGTGTGTGTGTGTCTGTCTGTGTGTGTGTGTGGCGGGGGTGGCGGGGGGGTGGCTGTGCCACATCAGACACCTTAATGCGACACTTAATTCTGACCTCAAAAGGAATAACTATGAATTTATATTATTTTAATCGACTTTTTCCCTCTAGAAAACGTCTATTTTACGGTATTTAACTGTACTGAGTTTTCTATGCGGTGCCAGCTGCCTTTTCTCAATGACAAAAAAGGGAAAAAATCCAATGCTCTGGGTCCTCTTCTTTTGTTGGAGCTTTTCATAGAAGCCCAGAATGAGAACAGAAGGCACCATTTGGGAGATGAGGAGTCCTGGAACTGAGTGTAACTGTGGATGTGTCATACATGTAGCAGGGGATGTGAATCATAGCCAAGAAGTGCGTGCAGTTGCCCAGTATTAGTGGCCTATGGGATGTCGCAGTACTGACAATTTTTGACATTATTTATTTTTCTGATGCCAATGTTGAAAGAGGAAATCATTAATAGTTTACTGAGGTTCAACAAGGATCTGAGCAGTGCGTTGACAAATTGTTTAAAATGCGGGCAGATGGCTCTTTTTCTTTTTATCTGTTTTATTATTATTATAATACTCATAGTATTGTATTTTTCAGGATCATTTGGCTACGTTCAAGAGAAAAAAGAAAAAAAACCAAAAAAAAAAAACCCGCTTTAGCACAATTACATAATCACTGAATCATGTATTCCAAATGGGCTTGTTAATACCATATGCGTGCATATGCACATCTCTCTAGCCCAAACTCCCAGTGTGGACATTCATCACTCTGTCCTGGTGTAATTGGGGGATGGATGCACTGAGAATCCCACTGCAGGAGGCTATAATGTGCACGTGTGTGTGCGTACTGATAGAGGGGATTGGCGGGGGGGACTACTTCCAGTTGAAATAATGCTTTTAACCAGCCAATGGCCTCTAGGTACACAAATGGATGCATCAAGGAAGGACAAAGAGTTTATCATTATTATCCTTTCCCGGATTATTTAGTCTATAGCCTTCTATCAAGCTTCTATATAGTGCATTCAGCGGCTGTGGAAGTTTTTCAGCAATAATCCCTCACACAAACAGTACGATTTCTGCAGTGGTCAATATTTGTATTCAGATGAGGAAAGAAGCTCTAAGGTGAAATATCTCCAAATGTGTTGCTTCATGCTACACACGAGCCCCCATGATTTATGGCTAAAACTCACTGTGTGGAATCTGATGCAGGGCTGATGCAACACAAGGCGTGATGTAGGTGCAGATGTAGCTGTCACAGAGGCCTCACTCTTTTGCTTTGCTTGCAGCAAGGAAAGTTCAGAAGATGCTGGTTAAGTTTGTTTAAAAGATTTTTTTTTTCCTCAGAAAACTAAAAGCAGAGGGAGAGACACTCTCCTTCTGCTTTCACACCATTTGAGAGTTAATCAATGTTGAATCAGAGTGGGACAGCGCGTGAAACCCGTCCAAGCTGCGTGAAGTTGTTGGCTCATCATTCTGCTATTTTCGGTACATGGACTTTAAGTTGGAGGCAATTATTTTCTAACAGTGTATGAAAATACCCAGCTAATTAAACATTTTCTGGATTTGATTTAGCAGACTTATGCTAAGATTATATTTCATAGCTGATCAGATGGCACTGGCAGAGTTTTGTGTTTATGGTAAATAAAATCAGCTTGATGCTACACATACACAGGGCCACGTTTACCTACTACAGAGCCCAGGGGCAAAAGAAAGCTCAAGGCCCCCTTCAGTTCCAGTTCCTCTTTGTGTACTGCACATGTATCATGTTGCCTTTTAAGTGTCCATAATGCAAAATATGTACTGTTTAGTTTGCTTCTGAACAATTTTATTGACTAAATCATATAAACAGAAATTAAAGTATTCAAGTACATTAAAGCCAGGACTTCAATAAACAGTAAAAACTTTGATTATGCATTATTAGTTGTTATGCATAAGAATAATTTTTCAAGATGTTTTATATATTTACATGTAAGCAACAAAAAATTCAAAGCATTCCACAAATTCAGGATTTAATACAAAGTAGAAATGAAAGCATTGACCTTAAGCCCTCGTACTTTTTATTGTTTTTAAGTCATTTTTTTATTTGAAATGAATCAAATTTACAACAAAGCAATTGTCAAAAACAATGAAGACAGTCTTGATTATACATAATTGCTTATACATAAGCAATGTGTGTAGATTCACATACATAACAAAAACAGTGTTCAGTAGAAATATTAGGTTTCAGTCCTTTTACCTGTCGTATACTTTAATTTTGAATTAAATTTACCACAAAGTAATTGTGAAAAGTTATAGAGACTGTCTTGCTTATGTGTTAATGAGCTCTTATGCAAATGAATGGCTTGTCAAAATGTGTTGTGTTAAAAAAAAGCAAAAAAAGATGTATTTGCTTTTTTTATTTTTTATTTTTTTGTTAGGCCAAAACGGTGTAGAAAATTTAAATGAATATGTAGCAAATGGTGTTTTAAAAATATTTAATATTTGAATGGCTAATGCTGAATCATTTTGTTTCAAATCCTGAGAGCTCAAACAACACAAATTCCCATCAACTTTTTTGATGATCCATTTGATGATTTCCTTCTTTCTTTAACATTTTTTTCGTAAGGCTTTTAATTTGAAGGATTGTATTATTGAATTGCTGGCCTGATGAAAAAAAAAACATTGACAAAAGTGATTAAAAATAAGTGTTATTTTGATGAAATTATTATTTTTGTTTCTTATCATATGAAATGGGGGTTTCAAACTCATGTCCACATTTAATAAGCTTTTTTTAAACAAAATTAGCAAAAAAATAATTCAGTTAATCAATCATTACGTCTCTTTTTTCACATTAATGTAATTAATGTAATGTACCTGTCATTACAGGTACATTACATTTAAAGGTTTTGTGCCTTTATAAAATGTAACATTTTCACAAATAAACAGTAGTATTATTTGCTTTTATTATTTAAACAGTCACTAGATCTGAAGGCCATCCAGTTGGCTGAATTGGCCCCCCTGGAAGGCCACATATGTCGCCAAAGCCATGTGTTTGATACCCCTGCAAGTGCTTCATTATTTTAAGCTTGTATGCATTGTCTCTCTTTTAGTTTACCACCTAACGCTGCAACAACATGTTTAAATGATAATTAGGCCAATGCGCGGCTGCCCGCTCTATACGGAGACAAATAGAGAGGGTGGACATTTTCCATATGCTCGGGCGAGGCCTCGCCTACCCCCTGCTGAAGATACCTCATCCTCAGCGCTGCCTCGCTGCATTCCTGCCACTCGGTCTCCCTGATGATGTGAGCAATTGAGTTCAAGGAGATCTGGGTAATTGAGAGGGCAGGGATGGCATCTGACAGGCACCGATGGCTCCAATGATTACTTTAATCAGAGTGGTTAATGGAATTCCTTCAGGCATGTAGAAATGCTCAAATGTTCATCAGCATTGAACCGATTTTTACCCCCACTACTACACCTCCTCTTCTACCTCACATTGCTATAATTACTGATCAGTTTTCTTTCCTCTTTATGCCTTTAGTTTCTGTTTAACACTCAGCAGGTGATGAGGTGTTTGTTCCTGTGGTCTTGTGTGAATCCACAATGGAAGTCACTGGGATGCTTTATGGTCAGAATGCATTATGGATGAAGTGTTTCTAACATTGGTAAATGTGTTAACATTAAAAGGGTCAGTCAAGCACCCAAACACAGTGAAATCTGTATACAGACAAGCGTGTGCTCATAAAAATACAGAGCACTTTAGGCTTGTGTATAATGACTGCTCAAAATGAGACGTTTATGTCTTATTATCCAAATAAAATAATTGTTCTGTTCCATGAACACTTTACCAACTTTCAGGGCTAATCAGCCTCTAAGTTAACAGCCTTACTGTCTAGCCTGTGCTGAATAAACTTTAAGAAACGATCCATTGCACAGTCTGGATCCAGACTCCGATGCCATCTGCCAAACAAACCAGGCTACTTGTTGTTTAAATTCTGTTTATATAATTGGTTTGAGAACATTTTTTCACCCTTTTGTGATATGCATGCTGGCAAAATGTGACAGATATATTTGTATAATTTTGAATTGATTTGTTGGTTCTTGTGTCCATCTGCAAACTGTCTGGCTATGTAATGTTTGTAAGAAATGAACAATGATTTTCCTTTGGGGCATGGTAAAATCACAATGTTTTCCTTGCACGCTTTCTTTTTAAAATAGCTAACGACATGAAAGGCCAGAAATATTATACCAACTGTCACTTGAACAATGTGTTAACTTGTTTTATGTTGTGTTTACTAGCAAAGCAAGCAGCTGTACTAATTAGCAGAACTTCACCTTACATAATTTTCCATCCAAAAGATTATGATATTCAATTTAGGATGTTACTACATATACATACACTTATTACTCCCAGATTAGGCTCATTTTGCCTTTAAAACTTCCATAATTCTTCATGGCACAGCTTTGACAAGGTGTTAATGTTCCTCTGAGATTTTGGTCCATTATCATATGATAACACATAGCACCACACAGTTGCTGCAGATTTGTCATCTGCTGATTTGTGAATCTGCAATTTCACCACATCCCAACGGTGTTCTGCGGAGGCCATTTGAGAAAAATCAACTCATTGTTGTGTTCAACAAACCGATTTGTGATGATTTGAGTTTTGTTACCATTTGGTGCATTCTAATGCTGGAAGCAGCCGCGAGAAGATGGTCATAAAGTGATGAACATGGTCAGCAAGCCTACTCAGGTAGGCTGTTTCACTGATGTTATTTATGCCAAATTCTGAGACTAGCATTTGAAAGTCACAGCAAAAAAAGAAATTCTAAGTCTTCTCAATCTACTGTTGTCCAGTTTTGGTGAGCTGGTTGAACAGTAACATCGGTGTCCTGTTTTTAGCTGTCAGGAGTAGCGTCCCATCTGCTTCAAGTCTCGATGCGTTGCGCATTCAGAAATGCTCCTCTGCATACCTTGGATGTAAAAAGTGGTTATTTGGGTTACTGTAGCCTTCCTATACGCTCAAGCAGTTTGGCTGTTGTCCTCTGATCTCGACAAGACATTTTACCGGTAAACAGCTGCTCACTGGATATTTTCTCTTTTTCTGACCATTTTCTGTAAACCCTAGAAATAGGGTCAACATCAACTAGCTGCAATGTCATTGACTGATTAGATATATGCATTAACAAACAGTTGAACATGTGTGACTAATCAAGTCTATATAAAGTAAAAATATAGGAAATGAAGCTTGAATTCGTGGAATCACAGTCAGAATATACTGACAGGCCTCTGTTTTTCTTTGGAAGATTAAAATCTGTGCACACATCATGTGCTTCAGGTTCTGCCTGAATGTTATTTCCACCAACATGTCCCTAAGGAATAATGCATAATATCCTCTCTGCAATGTTTTGTTTGAACATGATTACTCATGAGCACAAATAACATCCCACTAAAGGAAATAAGATCCCAAGGCTATAACCTAAAGGCTATAATGACAGGGATGAAACTACAGAGCGCAGATTTCTACGAGTTCATTCAATCATGTCAAAATTCCATCAGGATAGTCTGACTTTCATTCCCTGTAGTCAGATTTTAGGCCAAGCATTCAAGTTTGATTTCATGTGTTTTGGAATTAGGTCTGTATTTATGCATGCATAGTTTATTTATATAGAATACTTTACTATTGTAATCCTGTGTGTGCATGTATGTCTGTGTGTGTGCACATGCATTAATGTCGTCATGTGACATGGCATGACATAGGAGTAAATCCCTCTTTTGCTTAAAAAACAACATAATGGAAGTCATTCTTATTCTGCTGTTACCATTAGAGGCACCCCCACCCCTCTCAATTCAATGTGAAAGGTAATCCTGAATACAGAGTGGCTTGCAATTATGCTGAGAGCCAGTGTGGCATATGTACAATACTCTAAATAGAGTACCATATATTGTTCCCATGCTGTGAGGGGAAAAAAAAGAAAAATCGAGGGATAAGCTGACATAAATGGAGTTTGATACTTACCAACAGATATGTGTGATCAAAGCTTTTAAAGAGCTGCCTTTATATCACTGACTATGTGTATTTGAAGAGATACGAAGATGTTGTTTCATGTTTTATTTAGTCATTTTTTGCACCCTTTTTTTTCTCATGGTTTCATTTTCTTTCCATAATACGCCTGCCTCCCCCTTCCTTCCGTCGTTTACCCTATCCTCCTTTTCAGTTCCCACCGGGCAGCCTGGTTGTATTCATCAGGCCTCCCGTTTTGTTTGTTTGTTTATGGCGGCTGCACCCGTTGATCCAGAGCTGCAGTAACCCTGTTGTTTGATAAATGGCAACCATAGCATTACTGACTCCCCAGCCGAGCCTGGTGATGCCTGGCCAAAAAAACAACAGGTTGATGTATGGCTTCCTTCAGAGTGTCAAGTCATTTAAGTAGAGTCAGTCCAGGTACTGTGCTTCTATATACATCTGTGTCTGTGGGTGAACACCTTGGAATCTTGCCCTGTCCTGGTCTGGCTCATGTGTGTCATCAGCTTGAAAATTTACTGACAAACAAAAAAAAAGAAAGTCTATCTGTGATCAACAAAGCATGAGAAATGCATGTTTGTCAGGTTATTGTTAGGGAATTTTGTCATGCAAGTTGACAGCAGCGGGAAACAAGGTCGAGCCAGGGGACATCACTGTTATGATCTAGACTTGTTTTTCCATCCGGTTTGGAATTGCTTGAGATGTTTGAGAGGATGAAAGGGTTACTCAAGTGACTTTAAAGTTTTCCGTGAAGACTTGTGAGAAAGATTTAAAAAAGAAATCTGTCAAAATTGAGCATGAATTTTAGGACTCATGGGTAAAGCTCCACAGAAACCAAAAAGCTCACAAAAGCAGATATTCATTGCAGAATTATTATCTCAAAAAGAATTAATTTCTCAACAATACTCTTGTAGTAGCCAGTCTTAGATAGTTGTTAGCTATTTAGGTATTAGATTTATTTCTTGCAGAGATTTGTGGATCAAAATGTTTGACTAACAAGAAATGGGAACTAGGTGGGTGCAGGGGGTTTGGTTGCAACTGGCTAATCAAATGAGTAACTACTATTAGTATAACGCCAGAGGACCAACAAAGACAAAGGACGTTAAAAAAAATTCCTAATTGAGTACACCATACATGGGTGAAACAGAGCCTGAAGGATGGATGTGAACTTTCTCAATCAGGCCTGCAACATCCTAAAAGGGAACACAAATCAATCCTCCAAAAAAATCAATAACAGACCACATTATGAGACTGTACTGCTTTTACTCCATCCCAGTGCATTTAATCAGTAACCCTATTTAGTAGCTTGTATCATAAGAAAAACTGTAGGCTTGTTTAAATAACTGTACATATAGAATTTAGGTGACTTGTAGCCAAGTTTGAGTTGAGTTGACTGAAGTGTGGCTCTTACTTTATGTATTTTTTAAGTCAGTATCGCCCTCTATACCAGAAGATAATTATATTAGCATTTCGCAGATTCCTGACAATTCCAAAAGAAAGGGGAACTCTGATGAACATTTGAATCACCTAAATTTGGCTAAAAATACTTTTAAAAAATGCAAGTTAGTTTTAATTTAAAGATCACAAATAACTGATGACTAGCTGGCAAAAATAGCAACAGGCTGGCAAAAACAACAACAGCTAAGCTAGCATTAGGGCAGCTAATTTTAGATTTGAGTGTCTTGAAAAAAATAGTTTCCTTGTGAAAAACAGTTTGATTACATTTATTCACTCATTATCTAAGCCTGATAGCAGCATTTCAAAGAAAGTTTGTGTAACTAACACAGGCTAAACGTCCTCAATAGCTCACCTCGGTTCCGCAGTGAGTTTTATTGACTCACCATCCTGTATCAGACTCCTTTCACAAAGTTTTACTGTCTGCTTAACACTAAATAGATGTGAAGACTTTACACCCACTATTTTGACAGCTGAGGTAAACAGCGGGCTGACAGACTACATTTAATATATACGAACACTAGCCAAAGCATTTGAGGTGACTCAGGAGTAGGAACATAAAATACTGCATATTTTACTGACATGCATCAGATTTTTTTTTATTCCAGATTTAGTGTTAGGTTTTGATATTAGTTAAATATGTCAGAATGTAATGTGTACAAAAATGTTTTAATACACAGACAGTAGCAGAAACCTGCTGGCTATCCTTCACTGGGACGGGGCATAGAGCGCTAATAAGGCTAAAAAATTGCTTCCGTAAAGTAGCATAAGCAGAATGTCAGTGATATATGAAGAACCAGTTTTTAACAGCTTAAACAGAGCAGCCCACTACAATGCTTCAATCAGGCCCACCACAAACTGTTGATACGTCATTGCATTAAGGCACAGGGCAAAGTGATATTATTTGGCATTTCACATTAGCTAGTTAGTTAGTTAGTCCGCACCAATGCACCTTTTCAGTACTTTATTCAATAATGTGATACACTCTGACACCAAATACTCCTTACACTGGAAATTAACTGCATTGTTCAACAGCCCTGCTGTACATTTTGTTTTGTCTAGGTCTAAAAATCAAAGGGAAATATATTGTCTCATATATGCTTTGTATCCTATATTTTCTGCTGTGAAATCACTTTCTTTAAAGCTCCTTTTAATGCCCGTCTTAAACAAGTGCACTTCCTCCACCTGGGTGATTTGTTTTCTTTGAAAGACCTGCTATCCGACAGCATTTTAAAGCACTGTATAAGATTATTTGCCCTACGGGTTCACTTAATTTTCTTCAAACAGAAAATGTATTTACTTAGTATGAGTTTGGGTCACAATTATATTTTATTGTTATTGGTAAAACTGGGCTCTCTGGAGGTATGCTTCTAATAGTTTGAAAGGGTGAAATAAGCACCGCATGTGGGTGGCTTGCGTCTTTGTGGGTCGGTCTCTGCAGCACACACTTTACCAGGTTTCTGATTTACTGTAAAATTAGCTCTTTCTTTTCTTCTTTCTCTCTATATCTTTTGCTCCCTTTCTCTCCTGTCCCCATTTTGTTTCTATCTCTGTGGCTTTGGAAGTGCAGCGAGGAGTCGGCAGAAACCGGGGCCTTACTAAAGGAATTAGACTGCGCGCTGGGAGATTGCTCAGATAATGAAATGGTGGGAGGTAGAAAAACTCATTTTCTCACTTGTGAGAGAGAGACATACTAATGTGGCTATTGAAAATAGCACTGAATAGTACTGGCAAGAAAGAACGAGACAATTCCAAAATCCAACAGTGTTATTTGATTTCAGCTCATGAGATATGGACCTGCTTAAAGGATAAAGTTTGGCACTGGTTTAACTATCTAAAATGGAATTGTCATGATGGGAAAACTATTGTTTTCCAACTGTGTCCTCCTCCCAGATCGCAGGGAGTGACAGTTTGCTTGTATTTAGACAATAGCGAGGCTGAAGTTGGCAGAGTGTGGGTGTGCTTGTTAAAAAATGGCTCCCGTGGAAGGGCTCTGAGAGCTCTTACAACACTATTGACGTCAGCTACTTGTGATGTTCTCTCTGCTGTACCTGCGAATATGTGTGTGTGTGTGTAGGCTACATGCATGAAGAGCAGGGAGTTAGAGTAGTTTAATGAAATTCACAAAGGCTGAATGGTGAAGAATAAATAGCAAATAGAGGTGACGAATGATGCAGTGTGCAGCCGTTTTAAATTTGTAAGAAGAATTGCGAGCTGACTGGTGAATAACTGTTTGTCATCCAGCTTGACGTGTACATGTAAGGAAATATTGTATCTTCAAAGCTGCACATGCCTCCTTGTTATTTTGCTCAAATATTGTCCACTATGCATCATCATTGGCATTGATCCAGACACTGTGCCAAAGGGGAAAAAAAATCCAAATAACAGCTAGGTTTTATAGGAGGAATCAGCCTGCCACTCACAGAAAGAATGAACAGGACCACAAATACAAATAACTGCAATGGTGAGGCTTTTTTACTGAGATGCTTTGGGCTTGGTAGTTTTATCTTCATTTCACATTGCTTCACGTATTAATTGTAGCATTTCACTTTTAATTGCAATTTGAGCATTTTCATGCAGATGGTGACATTTTGGTTTGGCCTGTTGCCGCTGTGAAGCCCAACTCTATCCTTGCTAGTTAATCTATTTTACCTGTTTTTGGACTGAATTAATGTGTTTTATCCTCTTATTCTAGCATATTTACATCAAAGATAGCAAAGAGCAAGCAGCAATACATAGAGCAGAAGACATATGAGTATGAGTGAAAAAAGGCTTTATTTAAGTTAGATACAACATGAAAAGAATTATGGGGGTTGCAAATCAGCTTGCAGATATGCAGCACCAGTGGTGAGGCTAAAACAATGCAAATTGGCTGATGTAGGAAGAGCAGCAGCAAGAACCCTCAAACAGATAACAATGACAATAGATATTGGATTAGTCAGAACAGAATGACAAGAAGGACCTGTGGTGGGCTGCAAAGTGGCTTGCATTGCACAGCAACTGTAGACTCTGTTAAATGAAAACCCCATCATCTCATATTTCATGATTTCTCCTAAAATGGTTTCTTCTTCATATAGTGAATTCTGGGGTATGGAGGACAAAAAAATACAACGACTTATAGCTAGAACCATTAATGAATCAATTCTGACCCCTACAGAAATCAATGTGAAGTGCTCCCCTTAACATTCACAGTATCCCTGGTTGCTCGGAGCACATAGTGATGAAGGCTGCTATAATGTGAGCCAGAGCTAGCTAAATGTGATTGGTAGACAAATATATACCTGACTGTAGTGAGATGAACGGGTCACAGATGAGATGTTGATCCAGGAGAAAGTGGGACAGAGTGTATGGAATTTATGGAATATTAATACTGGCTGTGTAGAACAGTGTGGAAACCGTTGTTGAATTAGCGTGTAATGTTTGTAATGTGTTAGTGTGAAGCAGTAATCTGAACAAATAAAGAATGAAATTAAGAAGACCAGCTGAATCGAAAAGGTTCCGGCCTCAGGAGTAGTGCAAAAGCAGCTTTATTTAGGTATGCTAACTGGATGCATATAGATTAGAAGCTGAGCCATCAGCTGAGATATTTTAGTATTGAGGTTATCTGATCTACAGCACCTCTACTACTGAGGGTTTGCTCATCAGAACTATTTATTCACATGTACATTCTTTAGGAAAACCTATTTTAACTGTTTTTCTGCCCTATGCCACCCATCAAAGCAGCCGACTTTCAGTTTTACCCCAAAACTCCAGGGATTTAAACCCTATGTTAAAATGTTCAATTTCTACCTTGTGGCCACTAGACGAGTTCAACAACTGGTTCACAACAAGGCGCCATGCAAACAGTAGGAAGAAATCATTGCTGTGTATCCGATCTCATTTGCCATGTTTAAGTGTGTTAACAGGAGGAATTAGAACCAAATTAATCCACCAGAGATTCCCAGCTCATCTCACTGTCAAGATATTATTATAGACTCCATATAAATGTGTAAGGTGTCATGGGAGGATCTGGTTATTGAATTATGCCAAAATTAAACCATTAGCAGGGAGGAATCAATCTGACTAGAAACAGCGTGATGACTCTTCTCAGCAAGAAAGAATAGTTTATTTTTCACTGACATTTTGAAGGACATTGTAAAGTCTCTATCGCTTTTTGTGCTGACACTTTGCAACAGTATTTTATGAAAAATGACTCAAAAAGCAATATAAATTGGTTTACACAGTGACCTGTGGTAAAAATGCATTCCATGGGTGCAAACAATTTCCTCCTCTGTAGATATAACCTCAGTGAGGACTTTTTCCACATAAAAAAAAAAAAATCCTTCCTCGCTGTAGAAAATAAAGAGGGGTTTAATTGGCCAGCAGTAAAAGGTCTGTCCATTTTTGCTCTTGGGGTTGACATTCTCATTTTTACACTGCCTTTGCTGCTAGCAAATGTTAAAGGCTGTGAATATGACTCTGTCAGCATAAGTGCACCAGTCTCTAACTAGAGATAAGGACCATATGGATCATGAATGATAAGATAATATCTATAGGTTTTCATTATGCTTGAATCTGGGCTTTATTGCTCACATTTGCAAGAAGAGAACCCACAGAAATTGCTTAAATGCACAAAAAACTTGCAAAAAATGAATTCTATAAGTAAATCAAAGCCTGTTACGCTTCTTCTTCTTTCTGCTGACAAAATGTTAACTGCTAATGGCTCCACAATTGGCCAGTTTGCAGCTGGCCAGTTTTTAATGTGATGATTCCAGCCTATAACCTCTGTGCTCTGTAAAGGATCCAATTTAAAATGGAGCATGGGCAATATTTCAGTTAAAGTACACTTAAGCAAAAATAATTCTAATAATAATGATGATAAAAATGAGGTAAACAACTGTTAGGAAAAAAATGGCACTTCATTGCCACATTTGTGTGCATTGCTTGTCATTGGAGTATAAATTTCTAAATATGGACACAACTGTTGATGAATAATACATAGATTTGATCCAAATGTCAAACATCAGCACCATCATCTTCCTCCTACTGTCGCCTCGCAGTCCTTTAACTGAAGCTACTGCATTTATTCATTTTACAGCGTGATGAAATTAATAATTCATATCAAGATAATTACATACTACTGTGCCTTAAACATTCATTTGTGTGTTTCCAAACCCGTTAATAGCTTTTAAATGAAAACTTGATTTCAAAAGAGGATAATGTTCAAATGCTGTGGAAATTGGGGTCCCTGTAGGTTCCAACTTAATGTGAAAAATTCATATAATCAATTTGTGCCTCTGAGATTACTTATGTGGTAATAATTAAAGCCAAGAAGGCTATTATAAACACAAGACCCGCCATAGCTAGAGCGTTATCTCGGAGACCTAGTTTTTGATCTCAGGTCTTAATATGTAGCTCTTTTTTTTTTCTCTCCATCTCGTTATGAGATTTTCTTGTTTTGAAGCCACTCATCAAAGAGTGTCATCACTCTTCATGTCTTGGAGAAGAAGTTAATTCCGCAAAAGGCTTTTTCATTTGGAAAAACAGAGAGGAATACTAGTGTCTGGACTGGTAGGTGCTGATTTATAAGGAATAAGTGAAGGAACATGCACACACAAAAAAGAAGTTTGTGGTTTCATCTTTGATTTCTTTCAATCACAATTGGCATGTTGGTGGTTTTCCTTGAACACTATTTTACCTGAAGTCTGATCATGTTGGGAATAATGTTATTTTGTGGAATGCACAGGTGAA